TCACATTGTCAGCTGCTGACATATGGTGTAAAACTGATTTATGACGAAACAAAAACAATGTTCTCATTATCTAGTAATAGAATGTGTACTTTCATGTACCGGGGAAACAGGTCAGACTTTGACGATTTTGAGAATTGATTCTGAACAGGCAACTTGTTACTACTTGCAATGGATTGACAAAATTTAGATGAAAAACTCAGGGTTAAGACTCAAAGTCAAATATCTCCCTGGTTAATGCTGATATCACACTCCGTGCCTTGATTTATACACAAGACACTTGGTAGTTGGCCCTCGGGCCATTCTCTACTCCAGTCTTGCCTGACCCCACATACTGTGTGCTGTCTCCGCCCAGCTGGAAGGTACTATCTGCAGCAGGAACCAAATGCCTGGATGTCACACCATTGGTGACCGGCTTACCGCCGGGCTGCAAGGCATGGCCATTCTGTGTTAACAAGCGAATGCCGTTGCACTGGTCACCTGAGTTGTTGTTGGCACTGCTCTCTGACGAGTCACTGGTATGGCCGGATTCTGGGGAGCTTGCTTCTTCAGAAGACACGCTGCCACGGTTCTGGCCGTTGTAGACCGAAAGTTTTTTGGTGCCCGGTATCCTGTAAGGTGTGACCTTCCTCTTGCTCTTCTTGGAATCAGTGGACAATTCGCAGTCTTTCGATTTGGAGTTTCCATTTAGGAGACTGCCTGAGTCTGACTCCTCGTTTGATTTGTCGCCCACTGACCAGGACAAGGGTCTGGTGTTGGATGGGTTAGCATCAGAGGGCTGCACCCGGGCCCTGGAGGTGGCCCTGCTTTCCCCAGGTTTGCTCTTGCAGTGTGTGGCGTTAGTTGCCACTTTGACCGGGTGGCACTGGGTGTTGACACTGTCCATTTTGGCGATGCCCGTTTGGACCTTAGTTGTGGGGCCTGAATCAGGGATGTACACAGCCACCAGCTTCTTCTTGGAGCCGTGGCTGTTGGAGGGAAGAGGAAGGGTGTTTGGGCGGCGGCTGTGGTCTGACTCGCAGCTGTTGGCTGACCCCTCGGACAGTGTGGAATGGAGACTGCTGCAAGATCCGTTGCTGGAGGACAAGTTGTCGGATATCAATGCATCACCTTCCCTTGGAGAGAGATTCTGCTTGGGACTCATGACAGGAGCTTGCTCCACCAGGGCTTGCTGCCACTGCTTATTGACGTTGGGCTTGGCTGGTCGCTGCTCGCCTCCCAATTCGGTCAGGCTGTGACCAGGATGAGAGCGTGCCCTGGCCTCGTTGACAGTCATCTGACCCCAGACTGGCAAGCTGGTGGGCCGGTGGAGATTGTGCCGCCGGCTCCACACTCCCAGATTATCAGTCATCTGGTCCCCAGCAAGGCTAGGCCTCATCTCATGCATAACAAGGGGCTTGCTTGGGGAGGTGTTGGGCTCACTGTACCCATACCCCTCAGAGCTCTCAGTGGGCGTGCTGTACGGCCGACTGTACTTCAGATCGGATGTGTACCTCTCAATGTTCTCATCTGAATAGTGCAAGTTTTTGGGGTCCACACTGGGTGCTATGGATGACAGGTCGATCAAGTTGAGATCCGACTGAGCAGAGAGGCTGGTGCTGATGGTGTCTGGCGACAGAAGCCTCTGGCGCTCGTTCTTCTCAACTACAGAGCCTGTTGGAGCACAGCGTGACCCAAAGAAGCCCTCCGACCCCTCCAGTGTGGTGGCCGGATCACATTGGGGGAGAGTATGTTGGGGCTGGGACTGACCGTGGTGGGAGGCAGCAGCAGCGGAGTCCACCGTGGTGGTGGTCATCCCCGGACTGTAGTCTGGTTGGACGCGTGTCTGGGTCAGGGTGGCCACAGTGGTGCCCTCAGAGGTGGCGTTAATGGTGGGGCTGACTGTGCGATGTTTATTCCAAAGCACCATCAGCTCGATGATGCGTTCCTCCACACAGAGCGCAGTCAGCCGAGCCTCAGAGTCATGATCCCAACAATCTTCGATGGTCTCTTTCAAGGACCGTAGAGCCTGTGACAAAAACAACCAACAGATAATGCATGAGTGGAGTGTACTTCATCCACCAAGAACAGAATAAACTTTATTCCAAACGGTTTCCAAGAGAAAGCATGTTTAGGGCATTAACAAGTGTTGTATTGGAGTCCATCACAGGTCTTTCCACAAGACCAGTCGTAAGAAACAGTGTGAACAAGGACAAAATAGAATGCTTTTGTCACAGTTGATTTAAACAGCTTACGAGCTGACTTAACACTGGATGATTTGTGATGAACAAGCAGGGAATTGTGACGGGCTCACTACAACACTGGCATAAATAAAAGAACCTTTCCACTTGATACAAAAGAACACTTCCATCGATGACAGAGACAAGATGTGGAGAAAATCAAATGCTGTTTGTACCCTACGACTGCATTTGAGGTTTTGTGCCAAGTTTTAGCTTTTATTGCTCCAATGTGAAAGCTTTCCTCAAGGTCTTTTGGGGAAATGACAGGTGATGAAATGCTCTCTTGCTGACTGCTAATTCATGATTTATCTTTACCTGGTTGTTCTCCTTCCAAGCATCAGGGAAAGCAGGCCGTTTCCTCCCTCTGGACACATGAACCTGCATATCCTCAAATGTTGGATGTTGGCAAAGCTCATCGGCAAATGGAAGTTTGTAAGGTGGTACGTTGCCACCTAGAGGAAACGCGACAGAAAAAATAAGGCAATAAATTCCAGTTTGCAAACAAAAACAAGACACTGATCAGGAATGAAGAACAGAAGTATTCAAGCATTTACATGTATTTCTGGTACAGGCCTACTATTTGACATGTGGAAGACTCCATGTATTGTTAACACATCTGACAAGGCTCTCCATCATCAGTGAGTCGACTGATCCCAAATACACTACAATTTGGCCTGAGAAATACCTGTGCCAGATTTCATTGCCCTACTCAGGGCCGAGTATAGATTTCCCACAAAAGGAGAAACAAAATGTTTCACACACACAAAAAACTTGATAAGGAAAAGTAGTTTGGGCCTTAACCACTTCACGCTGGTGGCAGTTATCAATGTTGATGATGCTGGGGCAGGATAATTATCATTTTTTTCTGTTTTTCAAAATTCTTTGAAAATTCCTATCTTCATTTACTGGACACTTACACCCACACGAAGGACTGTCTCGTTTTTACTCTGACAGACACCATCTATTGATGCTGCGGTATTTCAGCCAGGGCAGTCGCCTTGTAAAAAGAGCCCAGATTTTGCGTTAATACGTAATTTTCTTTTGTTCCCGAAAGTGGCACAGTGCGCTGCTGACCCCTTTTCAATAGGAGCCGGATTTGTGTGCAGCGGTGCTGTGTGGCTCATCGCTGCAGTGGTGGAGCACTTCTGTCCCCGGTGGTAATCCGCTCGCACTAAATCCCAAAACCGTGGTATACTGTTTCAAAACAAGGCTGGATTATCTCCAATGCTGAGAGTGAAAAAATCTCGGCAATGCCCAGCAGCCTGGTCTTTTGTTCCGAGAACAGTCTTTTGTTACAAGGCCCAGTTCCTTTTGTCCCATTTCGGAGACCCCGGCCACACGTATAAAGAATACACGTCCGGTACCGGAAACCCCAGCTGCAAGTGTTTATTGTTGGGCATACATGTGCAAATGTGTATGTGTTCAGCTCCTCAAATGTCAGCACGTGACACCTGAAATACGTGTTCACAATTCAATTTTGTAACCAAATACATGCAAGTGAATTTTTTCCATATTTTAATTGTTTTCATCTTGAAATATTCAATTCTGAAAACAAATTTCCAAAATCAATCAAATGTCTACATACTAAGACCAGTATTTGACTAATTTGCAGAGTCCTAGCCCTGCTCAGCAGAGGTTACATCCATCGCTGGTCAATGACCACGTTTTTCTCCTGAGAACCTGTAACGGCCAAAGTACTGTACAAGACATTGACATCTGTATCCACTCTGAGCGAAAAAAAATAGGGTGATTTTTTTTGGTACCCACTGCATAGGCGCACCATGAAGTGCGCAAGTATACGCGTGATTGACGCGAAGCACGCTGAATACGTGTAACTAATTTACTCCGGCATGTACATGTATGGTCTTTGCGTACACGCAGGACGCATGCAAGAACCCGCTTGTAACCACATGTCTTTCTTTTGCCGATTGGGGGTGCACTTCAGCTCTGGGCGGATTGTGGCTTATATTAAAGGGCATGGATGGGGTGGAGAGATATTCCACCCCTTCCGTTTTTGACAAGAGGGATGAGCCGTAGAATCATCTACCAAATTTAATATCCACCCCCACACCCAAAAAATTCCAAGGAAAGGCAAAAAAAGATACTGACCAGAATCCAAAATAATGTAAAGGAATGTAAAATTCACTTCAGTGTCCACTAGAATCGTCAGGAAGGGAACTGAACTCTACATGTACATTGTACATGTAAATACTGCACATACACAGATGTGCGTAGATTCTAATTAAATGGCATCCCCCTGGCAATAGAAAATGTCCAGTCCCTTCCCCCCTACCCCCTGAGATTTGAAATTTCATCATCGCCTCCCACTTAATGACTGGATCCTATGCCACTGCCTACCTGTACCGGTATTTATACTAATGCCCAATGAAATTGGGACCCGGTGAAAGACATTAAATACATTTTAGTGAGTGTCAGTCACAAAATGAACTAATACATGTACATGTAAGTACATACATGTACATGTTTACATGTGCATACATGTATACATGTACATGTATACATGTGCATACATGTACTTACATGTACATACATGTACATGTATACATGTACTGATACATGTATGTACTGATACATGTACGTACAGTGTACACGTACTTGTCCTTTACAATGTATACATGTACATGTAGTACATTGTATTGTGGAATAAGACTGACTTTAACCATCACCCCTCCCCCCAAAAAAATTAAAAACCTCCTCTTTGTTTGGAATGGTTTTGACAAAAAGTTCTGTCCAACCCTTTTTACAATGTATCTAAGAATGGACTGAATTTATTTTCTGGGGAAGATCTAAATACATGGAACTCCAACTTTTTAGTTCCTCATACACTGTACCAGTGCACATGTTTCATCCCAAGTCATTTGTCACATGTACTCGCATATTTGTTCAAAAACAAGTCAAAGAAAATTAAAGCCTTGATGCAGGTCAGTAAAAAAAAAAAAAACATTCCTGTTTAATCTTGATAGATCACAAGAGCCACACATATGGAATTTTCAATAAAGAGATCCACTGTACTACCTACATGTAGTATTAGTTATCACACGAGCGCAAGTGGTACACAGAATAATGTACATGTACATGTAGTACGTCCGTGTCCCGTATACCACGAGACCAAAGGCCGAGTGGTACTGTGCATGTACATGTTCCTTTGAATTTAAAGTAACTTTGGCAGAACTTAGTGCCTTTTGCTTTTAGTGTAAAAATAGCACGCCGCGTTGAGTGAGAATAGCTCAGTACACAGGTTTGATATGAACCGTGCAGTACGGTTACATGTACATGTACATATCACGCTGTTTGTTGCCACGGATGAACCAATCAGAATTGAGAATTCAAGTTTGCCTGAAGATACATACATGTACATGTATCCAGGGTCAGCAAAATTTAAACTACATACATGTATATGTCCCTCCTTTAATGTCCTTTCTGCTTTAAACTTCCAATCACCAATGATTACGCAAGTTCCAGAGTAATCTTATTCAACAGGTAACAAGTACAACGTACAGGCATTGGAGCAGCACATCAAAACAGAGCACTCTGTCATCGCTGACGCAGCTTACTATCATGTCCGGACATTAGTCATTAGGTGACTCAGGCTGACACTGGAATAGTACTATGTACACGTGAGTGCAGCACGCTGTGGGCCAACACACATACGGGTCTAATATGAGCCTTCGCCATACAGGCTTCTTGAGGCTCCTTCAGGTGTACTGCCGTCTTTACTTTCTTCCATGGATTGGTTGCTCTCCTTCAGACATGGCTCAGACACTTCCCTTTGCCTGCCCCCCCTTCAGTTACCAGTACACTGTTTGCCACTCGTTCTTACTTAGGGTTTTTGCTTTACAATCCCAAGCCCCTACCCAGTGATTTTGAAAGTGTGTGTGCATTTACAGTGTGCTCATGATTATGGTTGACTTTCCTGAATGATGTACATGTACGGTTTGTGTCAAGTTCCAATGGGCATGAGCTAAAATCTCCGAACAATAAGCTGTTCATGTAAATGTTAACATTGTAAAGTTCAATATCATTACTAACGTCATGACAAACTTAAGTCAACCAGAGTACCCGGTATGTGTAGCTAAAATATATGTGTACATGTACGTGTACTAAGTACTCTAGTACATGAAGCTACTTGTACAATGAACAGCACGCACATGCACAGACCGTGTCACGCCTGACTCAAAACTGTGGTCAAGTTACGGTAAATTTCCACCAGAAAAAGCAAACTGCTCTACGCTAGATGATAAGGAACATGAGTGTTTTGAAACTGTTGGTGTTATTCAGACACTGTACCACATGGAAGAAAAAGATGAGAAAGATGGTCAGATTTTGCTTCATCGTTAACAAGAGTTATCGCATCACATATTTTGATCTGGCTCTAATGATACTTGTAGATTTTGATCTAGCTCTAATGATACTTGTAGATTTTGATCTGGC